TATGGTGGTTGGAAATAAAGGGGGTGGTGTGCTATTAGCTGCCTCTTTCTTTTAGGGGTTATGTTCGAACATGGCAGCAGAATTCAAGGCTATGCTGGATGGCTTAAATATGTTGGTAAGAAATGGATTGTCTGTCTATCATGTATGGATAGAATCAGATTCCTTGGTAGTGGTAAACACTATTAATGGACTGTATCAGTGTTCTTGGCCTTATTTTGGGATTTTGGCACAGATTAGGCAGCTACTGGATGGGTTGAAATTCCAGTTGAATCATGTATATCGTGAAGCGATGTTTGCCTGTTTTGCGTTCTAAGAGTGTGCTGATTTTTTATGATGGAGGTTAACGTGTTGAGGGTTTGAAATCAAGATGAAGGGTATGACTGCTATGAAGAAATGATATGCAGATAAAAACAGAGCGTATGCCCCTTCAACAAATGATATGCAGACAATAGACAATTGAATCCAGATATATGAAAGCACATCATAAAAGCTCTAAGATCATGCAATACAACGGTGTCACACCAATCATAGTTATAAAAAAATCCATGTGATTCCAAGAAGGCAGAAGTTAGAACTAATGTATGAGCTAAAACTTGGAATTGTGCCGAATACCAAGTCGATTAGAATTGAGTCCAAGTGTAGCCGAAGCAGAATTAATACATGGGTTCAAATAAATAACAAGTCACCACCACTTAGAAAAATTCAGTTACCCAAATGCCAATTACCTTAATGTCCTTATGCCAGCTTCTTGTCTTTCAGTGGCCCTCTCGGAATCTGACTTAGAACCTTGGCATTAAACACCACATATTGCTTCTTAAGCTCGGCCTCTATTTTCTCAGCAAAGGAGAATCATTTGGCAGTTGTAACAAACCAGCTCCTAGTATCCCATAACTTGGCTTCAGCGCAACTAATTAGCAAAAAACATGTTACATGGCAACCATGTAACACAGAATTCATTCCGTCGGTCTTTAAGCTAATGAGAAGGATAAGATACCTGTGAGGAGCACAATAGGTGTCTTGAAGCCAAAATTCCATAACTTGCCATTTTTTCTCTTTCAATTGTGGGGAAAATGATTCCAATAGACGGATTTCTTAACTCTTGGCTTGCACTCCAGCAGCCCCACTGTAAAGGGCATTACCGAAATATTGAATCGTATTGTCAGTAGTCAAAAGTGCTATAGAAATTAAAGATTGCTAAGTTTTCATACATCAGGATCTGACTCTTCAGATTCAGAGAACTGCAATGACCACTTTCCAGCTGCTGCAGAAGATGCAGCCCACTGTTTCTCTTACCTCAGCAATGGGATCTTTCAAAGCCTTCCTGGTGACCCTAAACCGAATCCCCAATTTCTCCTCCACTTACTTCTCCTAATCACAGCCCCAATCAAACGATCANCATCAAGGTTGTGTCGAATCTTAAGCACATGCCAATACGGTAACTCAAAAAAAATTCTCTTCTTTGTCTAATTAAGTTCCACAAATGACCACTTTCTTTTTCAGTTGTTTGGATGCTTCCCGAATTGCACATTTGGTAAACACTCCAATTGATCTAAAATCTCTTGCCCCGATAACGCACAATATTTTGATTTTTTCTCAATCTTACCATTAAATAACTTGCTTCGTCGCCAGATGTGATTTTGCGGCAAGTAACAAAGATGGCCTATGTAGCCTATTTTACTTCTTAATGGCTGTGGTAATGCATCAAAATTACAAATGGGGCATGCCTTGTAACCTTTTGTACTCCATCCAGATAGGTTACCACAAGCAGAAAAATCATTTATGGTCCACATAATAGCTGCACGCATTTGAAATGTCTGTTTGGTACATGCATAAAAAGTTACACCACCATCCTACAATTCTTTCAACTCATCAATTAACGGGCGCAAGTATACGTCAATCTCCTTCCCGGGTGCTTGTGCTCCTGGAATAAGCAATGACATCATGAAGAATGGATTGTTCATACATTTCCTGGGAGGCATGTTGTAAGGCATCAAGATCATAGGCCACATACTATAAAAGTTGCTCATGTTCCCAAAAGGGTTAAACCATTAGTGGCCAATCAAGCCTAACATTGCAAGCGTCCAAAGCGAAATCAGGATATTGCTTATCAAAGTCTTTCCACTCTTCAAAAGCACCAAGATGCCTTGAATAATTCTCGTCATCCACTCGCTTCTCTTGGTGCCACCTCATATCTATAGCAGTCTTCCTTGACATAAACAATCTCTGTAACCTCAATTTCAATGGAAAGTATCTCAAGATCTTATGAGGTATCTTTTTACCCTTACTATCATTGAGCTGATATCTTCACTCTCCACATACTATACATTTATCCAATTTTTCATTCTCCTTCCAAAATAGCATACAATTGTACCTACATGCATGAATAGACATGTATCCCAATCCCAAAGCTTGTAAGAATTTTTTAGCATCATAGACAGACATTGGAAGAATATGATCTTCAGGTAAAAGGTCTGCCAGTAGTTCTAACATCAGTGTTAATGACTTATTGCTCCACTTGTTCAATACCTTCAAATGAAACAACTTAACCAAGACTAACAATTGGGTATATTTTTTGTAACTAAGATACAAAACACATTGAGCATCTTTCAATAATTTTTCAAAAGATTGAACTTCCTCACTATCAACACCTTCACATGTTTCTCCAGCAAGAACAACCCCTAAATCATTATCCATGAACATTCCCCTACCAACATTTCGGGTATTTCGTCTTGATCATCATCTTCACTGTCGGTCATATCATCCTCAACACTATTAGCATGATCATCATCATCTTCAAAGAATTAAGTGACATTCAAAGGAACGGGTTCCCCATAGTGTATCCACGTTGTTTAAGAGGTTATGATCCCTTTCACGTACAAATGATTTTTCACAATCTCATCATCATGCCATTTCGCATTCATGCAATTCCTATATGGACATCGAATTTTTCCATCTCGACTCGAACGTTCCATAACAAAATTGACAAAATATTTGACCCCATCAATGTATTTTGAATCCAACCTATGCCTAATTGTCATCCAACTCTTGTCCATAATTGATAGCCTACAAAATCACATATTTATCAATGTCATATACCAAGCATCATGCAAAATATGCCGTCAACTCCTTCCTATTTTGGTAGGTGGTCCTATCTCATTCAGGAATGCACATTTTATATAGTAGAAAACATCTCTTATCGCTTTGTTAATCCCTAATGGAAATTCGACGGTGTCTCCCCGTAGTACACACATCTCTTCAATCTGTAAACACAACTCTACATTCATGAAGCATGCTTATTATTGCAATCTTGTCTTCATCTATAAATCTCGTTTCTTATCAACAAAAAAAAAAAAAAAATCTACCATTTTATAAAATATTGACTTAATTTATCACAAAGAAAGCTCTTTTGATTGAGGACCATATTGATGATAACAAATTTGGAAAAGGAAAAAAAACCAAAAAATCCCAATGCATAACAAATTATTCGCAGTGACTTCTTGATTTGAAGACAATGCATGCATATATATTTACTAAAGACCATCTAAGAATAGAAAACATAGCAAAGAGTTCACTCTTCAATTACATATTATATATAGGGTCAGGGATGTCGCTTAGAAGGAAATGTAAACCCAATCTACCATATCTAGATTTTAAATTACCATGTCCTTGGCATATATGGCTTCTATTATAGTTAAACAATCAATATTCTTGCTATATATTTCAACGTGATGAATTTTGTAGCAGAAATACAACCTTGAAAATATTGAAAGCATATTGCTGCTATGCAATATATATGTGTCCATACACTAGACTCACCACATTGTCCATGTTGTATTCAATGTACAAATAGGATAATAATGCGGTATACTTTAGAAGTGGCAAACGTCACTTTGGAAAAGACTAACAAATATAACTCCCTATGTATGCACTAGCGTGTTAGGTAGTTAAGAGATGTTAATATCTAAATTTTGTTTTGCATTTGTGCTTTTTCTAAGTTCCTTTTTGTTGGCCTTGGTAGTTCTTATTCTGCCCATATACATAGTCAATTATTTAATTACTCCTCTTCCTTGACAACATTTCATAATATATAAGCCTACTTTACTTGGGCACTTAAAGCTTCATCTTAATTTGTTAAAATCTTTAACTGACTAAGCTTTCCTACTAAAACATCAGGTCAGGTGGTCAGTTGGTTCGTATGCTGGCCTATAATAATTGCTAAAATCTAATTCATTGTAGCTGTGTGTGTCTCTGTGTAAATAGAAAAATGTAAGACATTTAGGAGATCTTACAGTATAAATTTGGCTATCCATTGGTGCTTCTAAGTTCCTTTTGGTTGGCCTTGGCAGTTCTTATTTTGCCCGTATAAGTAGCCAATTACTTTATCAGTCCTCTTCCTTGAAGGTATTCTTAATATGTTAACGTACTTTACTTCGGCCATTAAAACCAATGTTATTTATGGCATAAGGTGCACCAAAGCATTAATATCTCCTAGGGCCTTAGCACAAGGCATGAAGCAAATTGGGGGCTTTATCAAAGCAAATCACACTTTGTAAATTACATGCATATTTAGACAAAAAATTTACAAGTCACAACCAAAGAAGCCCAAGGCATGTATCGAATTAGTCAATTAAGCAATTAGAATATGCCTATACGAAAAATAGATGGACTGATGCTGGCCTTGTGGACCTAGTAAATAAGACAAGTAAATGAAACAGACACTAAACAAAAACCACAGACAGATCAACAAAAAAAAATAGATAAAGAGGTTGGCCTTGTGGGCCTAGTAAATAAGACAAGTAACATAACAAACAGAGAAATCAAAGAACTGAAACAAGATAAAACAGAGAAACAATCGGTTGACAGTAGCAAAATTAGAATACAGAATGACCCCAAGAAGAGAAGAGAAGAGAATTATCCAAAAAAGATGGACCGATGTCGATGGCTCTTGGTTATGTGACAGGGGGAGCTGAACAACAGGGAAGGTGGACATAGGAGGCGGTGGAGTCAGGTAAATAGAGGAACACAGTAAGGGAGAGAGACCAAAAGAGAGAGAGGGAGAGAGGACTTACAGATTAATAGAATGAAGGAGAAGGGGGAGACCGACTGCCTTAGGCTGAACTTTGGGACTTCGACTGTCTGGCCTGATTTCATTGGAGATTTCGATTGCCTTGAGACTTCGATTTTCGATTACCTTGAGACTTTGAGACTTCGATTGCCTGATTTCACTAGATATTTTTGAGACTTTGAGACTACTTTGATTGCCTTGGGCTGAACTTTGAACTTTGAGACTTCAATTGCCTAGCGATTCCAACAACGAGGGATACTTCTCGGTCGATCTCAATGTAGCACAGTAGAAATCGAGAGAGAGAGAGAGAGAGAGAGAGAGAGTGACGCTGAGAAGGTACTTTAGGGAAATGGGTTAAATACTTATAACGACTTCATTTTTGGTGTAAATGAATTTTTTTAAGGCCCAAAAACGATGTCGTTTTGATTAATTATTTTATTTAATAAAAAATAAATTTATATTTCGTGAAGAACATCGAAAAACATCGCGCATTCATATTTTTATTTTATTTTACATTAATAACTAAAATTTATATTTTGTGACGAAAAACATTAAAAATTAAATATTTGATTTGATTTTAATTTTAGATTTTTTTTTTGCGACAAATTAAACCTTTCTGCCACAAAAAATTTTGTCATAAAAAATTATCAATTCCCGTCATTTCTAGCGCCAAAAATAATTAGGAGAGAATCACCTTTTTGAGTCATTTTTTAAAAAACGTCGCAAAAAAATTGTCAAAAATAAAATTTGCGACAAAATTATGAAATCATCACGGACAGTCCACTTTAAATAAACTTTAGATAAAAAATTTAACTCTAATGTTCTATTTTCACTTAATTGAATTCATACTCATATTTTTTCTACAAACTAAAAAATAACTTAATAAAAAAATAATAATAATAATAGTAAATAAAAATATATTTTTTAAACAATACTACTATCAGTGCTTAATAAATAGTTACAAATAAATCCACATTTTTATTTCTATAATACTAGTTAAATAAAGTTCATTACCAATTGAATATAAACAAGAACAATGCTACTTGAACATAATTTGCCGACCTAATTATTTATAATTATTCAATTGATAGTAAGCTCCAGTATTTGTGGTGGTGGCGACGGTAGTGCTGGTGACGGTGGGGGTGGTGGTGGTAGAGATAATGGTGGGGTAGTTTTAAACACTAATTTTTTTAAAGTACTTATAAAAAATAATTCTTAGAA